GCAGGAATTCATTTCTTTCTGGGCCTCATGCTCCCTTTCCCCCATCTTCAAAGCTGGCAATGGTGAGCCAAGTCCTTTTCACACTGCCATCTCTCTGACACTGTTGTCATGCTGTGTGCTGGCATACAGGCACATGCTCACACTCACTCTTTCACTCTCTCTGTCTCACTGACCACAGCTGGGAAAAGTTCTCCACTTTTCGAGATTAATGTAATTTGCTTGAGACCACCCAGATAATCCAGGATGTTTTTTTTTTTTAATTTTAATTTTTTGGCTGCGTCGGGTCTTTGTTGCTGCACACGGCCTTTCTCTAGTTGCAGCGAGCAGAGGCTACTCTTCGTTGCGGTGCTCGGGCTTCTCATTGCGGTGGCTTCTCTTGTTGCAGAGCACAGACTCTAGGTGTGTGGGCTGCAGTAGTTGCAGCACGTGGGCTGAGTAGTTGTGGCTTGCGGGCCCTAGAGTGCACAGGCTTCAGTAGTTGTGGTGCGCGGGCTTAGTTGCTCTGCGGCATGTGTGATCTTCCCGGACCAGGGATCAAACCCGTGTCCCATGCATTGGCAGGTGGATTCTTAACCACTGCACCACCAGGGAAGTCCCCAGGATGATTTCTTCATCTCAAGGATCTTTAACTTTAATATTGCTGAGTCCCTTTTTTTTGGCCATGCCATGAGGCTTGCGAGGTCTTAGTTCCTCGACCAGAGATTGAACCCCGGCCCTGGCAGTGAAAGTGCTGAGTCCTAACCACTGGACCTCCAGGGAATTCCCTTGCTGAGTCCCTTTTGCCATGTATCCAAGGATTAGGGCATGGACATTTCAGGGGGCTATTCTGCCTATCACATGGGTCAAAAAAATATGAAGTATGAGGTGGGAATGTGATAATCATTATAGACTATTCTTGAGAAGTTTGGGAAGAAAATGAGAAGTTTCAGGGTAATACAGGACCAAGAAAGGCTTTGGTTTTCTTTTAACGTGCCATGGATCCCTGAAGAACCCACTTAAAGGGTTTGCCCATATTTTACCTACCTTAGACCTCTCAGGGCTGAAGTGGCTACCTGGCTAGCACTTGTCAGAAACATTTAATGAAAAATGTATTAGCCACTGCTACCTGGGACAGCAAATAAACAGTTGGGACAAACATAGACTAAACAAAAAGATGCGAGGAAAGGTGCTTTAGAGAGTAAGGGATTTGAAAGCTCCTACATATTGTTAGAGATCTAGAAGGCTGGGTACATGTTCAGAAAGACCTGAGAATTCCCTGATTCTCACCTCTGGCTGGTCTTCAGGCTCTGCTTGAGCAGGAAGTGAAGACTAAGGCAGGGGTGAAAACTATCTGGCTCAGTATTGAAGGCATTTCCTGATGCAGACAGCCCATCTGCAAAGGCTAGGAAATGATTTTTGTTTTTCTGGTTTCAAGCATTTAAGGAAATCTCTGGAATCGCTAGCTAACCACTAAGTTAAGGAAACAGACTTAAGTGGGCACACACAACAAAGAATATAGACTTTATAAATTCAAAAAAAGGTTGAAAACATCAACAACATTGATAAAAGTTTAGCTACAATGACCAAGCAAAAAAGAGAGAAGACCAAAATAAAATCAGGAATAAAGGTAGGGGTATTACTACTGACCTTGCATAAATCAAAAAGATTATAAGAGCGGGCTTCCCTGGTGGCGCAGTGGTCGAGAGTCTGCCTGCCGATGCAGGAGACATGGGTTTGTGCCCCGGTCCGGGAGGATCCCACATGCCGTGGAGCGGCTGGGCCCGTGAGCCATGGCCGCTGAGCCTGCGCTTCCGGAGCCTATGCTCCACAACGGGAGAGGCCACAACAGTGAGAGGCCCGTGTACCGCAAAAAAAAAAAAAAAAAAAAAAAAAAAAAAAGCCGCGTGAACAAAAAAAAAAAAAAAAAAAAAAATTATAAGAGAATACTGTGAAAACTTAGATGAACTAGAAAAACTCCCAAACTACCAAAACTGACTCAGCTCATCTGTAACAACTAAAGAGACTGAATCAGTAATTTTTAAAATTTCAACAAAGTAAACCCAAGGACAACATGGCTTCACTGGTGAATTCTACCAAACATTAAAACAATAATTAACACCAAACTTTCTCAGACTCTTCTAAAAAATAGAAAAGGCAGGAATACTTCCTAACCTATTCTATGTTGGGAGTTTTAATCTGATGCCAAATACAGAGAGAGACATCACAAGAAAAGAAAACTAGTGAACCAAACCCAGCAGCATATTAAGAGGATTATACACCATGACCATGTGGGATTTATCCCAGAAATACAAGGATGGTTCAAATGTGAAAATCAACATTATACACCATACCAATACAGTGAAGGGAAAAATCACATGATCATCTCAGTTGATGCAGAAAAAGCATTTGACAAATTTGTATATGAATGTTCATAGCAGCATTATTCATAATAACCAAAAAAATGGAAGCAATCCAAAAGTTCATCAACTGATGAATGGATAAACAAATTGATATTCATACAATGGAGTATTATTTAGCCATTAAGAGGAACAAAGAACTAACACATGCTACAACATGGATGAACCTTCAAGATATGCTAATTTAAAGAAGTCAGACAAAAAAGGTCACATACCATATGACTGAATTTACATGGAATGCCCAGAATAGGCAAATCCAAAGAGACAGCATGGAGGGAAGGGGAATGGGAGGTGACTCCTTAATGGGTATGGGGTTACTCTGGGGGGTAATGAATATGTTCTGGAATTAGATAGTGGTGACGGTTGCACAACACTGTGAATATACTAAAAACCATGAATTGTGTACTTTAGAATGGTTAATATGGTGAATTTTTTGTTATGTGAATTTTACCTCAATTTTTTAAAAGGTAAGGTAAAAGAGATTACTGGATCAAGCTAAGATTGGATGTTAGATGTAAAGGATCAGTGTTCAAGGAATTTGAAGTCTGGAAAGAGTAAATCTGCAAGTGATTTACCATAAATTCCAAGCTGCGTAGAAAAGAAAGTGACTTCACAAGAGGGATGATAGACTGGGAGAAAATTAAAGAAGCAGTGTACTATGGTGGAACCTTGATGAAAGGATAGGAAAGTTGAAAGGATGGGAAAATATAGTTAGGGATTGATTCATTCAAGTTTGTTCTCGGAGTAGAACAAACTGAAGTATATAAGGACCCCAGTATGAAAAAGGAAGTAGCTTGATTGCTAATGGTTGTTAGAAATAAGGTTGTCAAGGGTCTTCAGGCTGGGTTGTTGAAAAGATTATGATTTGGTGTGGAAAGCAGTTTTAGCTAAGTAAAGTTTTTACTGACCTAGTACAATTACTTATTTAATGTCTGTCGTTCATGACAGACTATAGGCTCCCTGAGGGCAGGCATTTGTGTGCCTCACACGTGAGAGGTACTCAGTAAATCCGGGCTGAATAAATGAATTTGCAATAGCTTAGTGTATTACAACATCAAGAAGGCCCTAGCTAAATGGCATGAACCACTATGAAAAAATTTTTGTATGAGCGTAGAAAAATCTTTATGAGGAAATGGGAATGGAGAAGTATGAATATATCAAAACAACTACCAAGACCATAGTATTGGAGGATGAGAAGAGGTGGCTTTGATGATGGCCAAGATCCATTTTAGATTAGAAGGGAGAAAGAATATTTTATAAAGAGCTAGGGAATGTATAGGAATTTTTCTTTGAATGGCATGAGAGTTTCAGAGAACACAACTGTAAAGGTTCAGGAAGGAAGTCAGCAGG